AAATCACGGGGCCTGGCCCAGTTTGAATGAATCCACTAGTATTTGCAGTCAATTACAAATGAGGCCCTTCCTTGGGAGAAGGCATTGGATTGATGTCACAAATGTACATCATATAGAGTGCATTACATGGTGGGATTTGCAATAGATGTGTTTGTTTTGTCGGCACGACCATAGTCGATAGGATGGAGGTCGGAAAAACCGTTGTCTAGTGATGGAGGTCGGAAGGATCATAGTAGGCGACAGAGGTCGGAAGGACCATAGTCGGTAGGAGACCGGGGGTCAAAAATATCGTTGTTTGTTGATGGAGGTCGGAAGGACCATAGCAGGCGACGGAAGATAGAATGACCGTAGTCGGCAAGAGACCGGGGTCAGAAAGACCATTATAGTAGGGCAATACTCTGGTAGAACTTTTGGGCGTTAGGTGGTGACCCATCAGAAGTCTGGGCCTCAAGTGGTGTCCTAGTGAAGCATAGGGCCTCAAGTGGCGGTTCGGCGGAGGTGAGAGCCTCAAGTGGTGGTCCGACGAAGAAACGTCGTTAGGCGGTGGTCCAACGGAGGTGAGGGCCTCAAGTGGTGGTTCGGCGGAGCAACGGCGTCAGGCGGTGGTCCGGCGGAGGTGAGGGCCTCAAGTGGTGGTCCGGCAGAGATGAGGGGCTTCGACGGTGGTCTAACAAAGTTGAGGGCCTCATGTGGTGGTCCGGCGAAGCTCCGATAGTGGTCTGAAAAAGTTGAGGGCCTCAGGTGGTGGTCCGGCGAAGCTCCGACGGAGGACCGGAGAGACTCCGGCGGTGGACCGGCGAAACTCCGGCGGTAGTTCGTCGATGGTTCGACGGAAGTCCGGCGGTGGTCGAGGAAGAGCTTCTTCCTTCTCTTCTCTTCTTGCTTGGATCCCCTTTCAAGAGAAATGAGGGGTCTATTTATATATTTTATGGAGTGACATGTCTAGTAAATAGGTGAGAGATCAGGGGTAAATGGAGAGTGGTTGGATGGACGGCCGATATTGAATCCCTTGATTGTGGACTGTTTGTCAGACTCTTAGTGATGTCGGAATTCGGTGATTTTGGGCTCGTTGGATTTGTCTCGTCGAGCCGCTCGATTCGACTATAAGGTTTTAATGTTTGAAAACTGTTTATTAACTCAAACTGTGGTACAAAGCTTCCAATAGCGCTTCGGGTCCTTAATTTGGACTCATTTGGGCTCGGATTGAGTTGAATTTGGCGTCGTTGGGTTCTTATTTCCGAGACGCTCAGTTCGACTGTAAGTTTGCTGAAATCGGAGTTTATATGGTCCCAATTTTAATTTTGGAAGTTTTCAATTTGATTTTACATCGAGATTCGTGCCCGATCAAGATAATTTTTTGATAACGTATCAATTATATTTATTTTATGATAGAAAGTGACACTCAAATTTATTAATTACACAACTCTCCTTGGCCTATTGGTTGAGAGCTAAGGCTTCCAACTAATAGGTCTAGGATTCGAGTTTATGTATATGCGTTGTGTGTGTGAGTTTGCCTTAAATGATCTAAATGTCCCAAAAAAAAAATTATTAATTATCTTAATATAAAGTATATTATTTTGTTCTTTTATTTCATATTTTTATTATTTAATTTATACTTTAACGTGTAGATGATATATAAATTTTTTTTTCCTCAATCAAGGATCAGTGAGGATAACCATAAAATTTGTTTCTACACGACTTTGTTTGATTTGTGTATGCTTTCTTCACATAATAATTTGTGAACATCTCCTTCAACTTTTCGTTTAAAATATCTATTCATACTAAATTGAATGAAAAAATATTAATAATTTGATCATCAAACCTGCCGGCTGCAGACTAGTCAAACAAAATAAAATCATTTCCTCGATCATAACGGCTAACAACAAAATAAAATATACAAAATGTCAACAATATCATAGAATAATCTATTTGATCAAAATCCAAAAGAAATCAGTAGCAACAGAGTTTAATTAATGGAATATTTCTACACAAACTTTACCATGCGTATGTAAAATTTAAGTGAAAAATAATTACATGCATGTGACATATCTAATTAAAAGAAACAGACCAGCAAGCAAGCAATGAGTAGACAAAAGGGGAAGGAATGTTTATATTTCATGAATCATGATAAAAGTGAAAGCACAAGGGAGACATTCTTCAAGCAAAAGAAGACAATAAGAGATCTGGAAAGAGGAATACATGAACACATGAATAAGAAACGAAGACAAAAAATCTAATTTTTTTATTTGCGAATACACAGGAAAGAAGAAAGGTTATGAAGTACAGATCTAAAATATGAACATTCCTTCCCCTTTTGATATGTTTCATTTGGAATATTTCTATATCAAAACCAAGTAACGAGCTTCATCAAATTTAAGAGAAATTAAAAAACCTGCTGGTTTGCTGTTCGAACTCGGAAGAGCTGAAGAGGGTGACTAGGCGCGGCATTCGGGCTCGGAAGAGGGAGATAGGCGATTGGGCGGCGGCATTCAGGCTCGGACAAGGGCGACTGGGCGGCCGGCGGCGACGTTCAGACAGACCTTCTAGCGGTCGAGTTCTGGGCCCGTGTGCTTGGAGTTGGAGAGTTGTAGCATGATTGAGTAGGCAAATAGGATATTACAATGAAAAAGGATGAAATATTGATTTAATATGTACTTAATGCATCATAAATAATTTTAATTTACTTAATATTTTCAAAGTTAATGGGGACTCGTGCCTCGAGGGCCCCATACTGTATCCGCCCCTGCATGGCCACGGCTTTGGTTGTCGGATGAAATATTCGTATGATTCTACCCATGATCATAGCCCTTAACATTTTTAAATGAAGAAAAAAAGCATCCCCTTTATTGTCACTACATCGCCAGTCCTATTGCCCTTTTCTCTCACAAAATCTCATCACCCTACACTCATTGCAATGTAAATACAATTTACCTTTTTCATGAGCTAAATTTAACTTTTGTATGTATATATATTTGCATATGTTTTTTTATTTATTTTCAATTACATAATATATAATTAGGGGCGTAAATTTTTGACACGATCCCAAATTCGACCCAAAAAAATTCTTGTTTGGGTCAAACCGTTTGTGAAACGGGTCTGATCTGGTTTGGATTTCTAACCCATTTGAAAAATGGGCCTAGCTCGGGTTGACCCGAAAACCAATGAGTTAACACGAATTGACTCGGATCGAGTCGTGTCTCGCATCAATCGCGTCACGTCTCGCGTCACTCTGTCGCTTCGACCTGTGCCATCCTGATCCGGCGTCAATCGGTCGCACTCACGCACAGAGTAGCATACTCGTTGTCGTTGTTGTCGTCCCGCACGGCTGAACTCGCCCTGTCCCAGTGTTCTTGCACCGGCTGCAGCGCCGCCCTACCTACCATGGCGCCTTCCCCACACGCAGCTCGACACTGCGTTGTTGCCTGCCTTGTCATCTTCCCCGCACCCGTGCATGCATAAGCGATGGTTCGGGAGGACAAACTTGACCAGTTTGCAAAAATAGGTCGGGTTCAGGTCAACCCGTTTAAGCCGAAGTCAGTTCAGGTTGGACCCAAACCCTAACTGTTGACCCGAATTAACACCCCTATATATAATTGCACAATATAGCAACTTGTATCATAGCTAAAAAGGCTAAGCTAACTAAATTTTTAGTGAAGCTTAGTCAAGGCCAATTTTCATTCGTTAAAAAATCCTAATTATAAAAAAAAAGCAATTTCACACACACTCTTAAAATTTTAGCTAATTATGAGATTGCAATTCTTGTAACTTTATCGGTCAAATTTATATTAGAAGAATTGCATCAAAGTATCTTAAAATTTGATGAAGACGGGCTTCATTATCTTTAGGTCTATACTGAAATAATAAAATTATTAAATATTATTTATGACATTAATCACAACATAAATCTAAAGGGAATGAAACCGTTTAATTACATTTCGGTCGCACAATTATTTTCCTTAAAATCCTCATTTTCGTGTTTCTTGATCAATCCTGTCGGGTTGGAAACTCGAACATGAACCCGACACAAACGGGTTGAACAAATAAAAAATTTTCGGGTGTGTCCGAATCAGATTTTGAGTATTGACACCACTTACATATGCGTTGATTACTAAAAAAAGAAAAATCCAATAAAACCAAAAAAATTCCGTACTACGTAGGGCCGATCGTTTAATAAAACCAAAAAATTCTCACACAACTCTCCTTGGCCTATTGGTTGAAAGCTTAGGCTTCCAACTAAGAGGTCCAAGATTTGAGTCCTTGTGTATGCGTTGTGTGTGTGAGTTTGCCTTAAATGACCTAAATGTCCCAAAAAGAAAACCAAAAAATTCCGTACTACGTTGGGCCGATGGTTTACTTCTCAAGTCTTTGCAGTCGGAACAAACCGCGTGCGTTCTCATCCTATTGTTCAATCTGGGCATGCTTTCCCCGCTTTCCGACCCGCTTTCCTTTCTCCTTCCTCGTCGCCTTCCTATTTATAGCTCCCACTCTCGAGCTCCAAAGGAACTCAAGCACGCAGCTTATCACACTACACAAAGCTCTTACAACTACTTGGAGCTTCCTCAGCGAGCAGCAAAACCAAATAGAATATAACATCATCATCATCATCCATGGCCAGGGTGATTACTGTGCTCAGTTCTTATTAATGAATTTAATTTGTTCAGCTGATTGTCAAGCAACCAACTGACTCCTTCATTTCTCCTTGACAGCAAAAGGTGGTGCTGAAGCTCTCCATGGAAGATGCCCAGAGGCGAGCCAAAGCCATGAAGTGTGCCGTCGGATTACTTGGTTATTCACGAACTAATTTCATTAATTCCTCTCACATTTGAACCCTTCAACTTCTTTGAGCTCTGTTTTTCTGCTGTTTAATTGAACAAAATAAATTTTACTTTATATCAAAGAAGTATTCATAAAAATCATTTCATTGAAATTGTATTAAGTTTTTGTGAGCAGGTGTGGTGTCGGCGTCACATGATGGGGACAAGTTGACTGTGGTAGGAGAAGGAATTGATTCTGTGGCGCTGACGATGCTGCAGAGAAAGAAGATGGGGAATGTTGAACTGGTGACGTTAACGGCAATCGACGAGAAAAAGTAGGAGACGAAGGTGACGAAGGTGGAAGAAACTGTCAAGAACCAAACTACTATTATGCGGATGTTAGAGAACCTAGTTGTGATCAGAATAATTGCCCTATCATGTAAAAATGATTTTATTTTTTTCATTTTAAAATCCCTTCTGCTCTTCTCACAATTGGATGAAGGATTGCAGATACAAAGAGAATGGATAGAAAAAAAAGTATTGCAGTTCTTCGATGTCTCTATGTTCTCTGTTTATTGTCGATTACTTAGCAGGAACTGAAGTGCACTTTTGAAATTTCTTCTTAGTATTAGATCTTGTTGCTCGATAACATTTTAACATCATTAAAAAAAATACTGTATTTTAACATCATTGATTCAAGGATTCTGATTCTACTGAAATGAGAAAACCTACATCCTCTTCCATTGATCCTTTTGCAGGAAAAACTTTATCTTGCTCAACTAAAGTTTGTTGTGAAAGGGTGAAAATGTTGATTTGAAAAAAAGTATTTACATTTTTTGGCAATGAAAATATAATTTTAATAAGAAAATTAGAAAAATATCATTTTTTTAACTAAGATAGGTATAGTGTGACCTACTTCGATTCGAACAACTTCTAAAATTAGGCTGATGATTAAAAATGACCTAAAGCTGCTCAACTCGAAGTTCTCTAGATAAAAACTCTCTCATTTAGTAGCCCTAAGTGTTCAAATGAATGGAATAGTTGATTTGAAAATTTTTAATATTAAAATTTGCTCTAGAATTGCAACGCCCTATAATGTTGGTCACGATGCCACCCTACAGGATTCACCGCGCTGCCACCTACGTAATGTATTTGAGCACTAAATTTAATATAAATTTTTATTTCAACATGAGGTTTAAGGGAAAATTTCAAAATTTTTAAAAACATGCATTCAAACTCCTCAAATACACTCAAGAATATAAAAATCTTTTTCAATATACAAAACAATTTCAAACACATATCAAGGGTTCATAATACAAAAATTTATGCATATACCTTTTTCAAATTAGGTCAAAACAGGTTACAATAAACATTGACTTTGAAAGTGATTCAGGTGCAATGTGTCTCCTAGTTTAAATTTTTTCTGGGACATGCTTAATGATACTTTAAGATTCTATCTGCTTATTTTTTTGGTTGGTTGTGATTGCAGGCACTGTTTTGAAAATCAGATCAGACCGGTCGGTTCAACCGGTTCAACCGTGAACCGATCTGGTGGCCAGTCCGATCCAGCTTCAGAACTGACTCTGCATAGAACTAGATCAAATCGGTTGAATTCAAGCTAAAAATAAAACAATATTTTTCTTCAAGACCTCCTGTAGCAACTCTTCCTCTAGCTGATGAAATATCAAGACTTGCGGCGCTTAGATACTTCAAAATTAAAAATTGCCCCAATCTGATCCTCTCGGAAGGCATCAAGAAGTGCAGACAACTAATAATTGCCATCTCATACTCAGCAATCACAATATAAGTGAACCATCGGTGTTGCTAATGGATCCATTGAGAAGAATCGCCTCCGTCCAAAAGCTGTGTTGAGGAGAATGATTAGCTGGTTTCATTTCCAAATAAGGCAGAGCAGTGGTTTTAGAAAGTTAGACAAATCCTTACATCTCTTGTGAGCTTAAATTTATTTACGACAAAGACGGAATGGGATGGAGGGCTACTCAACTTTCAAAAAAGTGAAACAGATCAAATGGTGGATGAAATATAAGTGAAACAGATCAAATGCTACTCAACTATCAAAAAAGAAACTTAAAAGATCATGGTTTGCCTACAACAATATACTTGCAAATAAAGTTCCACGCAAGTTACCTTCCGGCTTCTGATAGTAACTCTGTCAGGTTTGATTCTACCAAAGTTCTTGAACTCTTGCTCAAGGTCAGAAGTGGATATGCTTGCAGGAAGATTTCCAACGTACACAGATTTTGATTCAACTGCAGCAAGAAACAAATCCTACAGTATCAAATATGAGAAAGGAAATAAAAGGTAGATTAACTAAATTAAAGAACTTTTTACCCCTTGTAGCAGGTAAAAAAAAAAACAAATTTCTAAATAATAATTATAATTTCTAAAAACAAATTTCTAAAATTTTTATAAGATGAGTGTTGAGGAGCCTGACTTAGGATTCACATAATTTACATTATTTCCCCGAAAAAAGAAAACATGTAATAGATTTTATGTAAATTGATTGATCTTGCACGTTCACAAAACTTACATCATCCCAGCGGCATTCTGGAGTCTGTTTAGCACAAGGGTAGTGAAAGCTCCGACGGCAGCTCTTCTCAAAGCATCCAAGAGCTGCTCCTTTGATGCCACAGCAGCTGCAGGCTATCCTTCTATTTCTACCTAATTCACTTGAGAGGTTGATGACCAAATCATCTTTGAAGTACACATCAGGAGCCCTTGAATGAAATGCACAACAAAATTCAATAAAATGCAACATAAATGTTTTGAAACCTAAGCACAAATGCAACATGTTTTTGCTAGTTCAACAGACCATTCTGTGCAGTTCTTGTGAGAATGAATTACATTGACGCCTCCATTAAAATCTGCAGCAACAGATTTACCATCATAATAGTGCATTATCTCTCCAGAAAGCTGCAAGTTTTGATAAACACCATCAAAGTAAAATAACAAAAACAAATAAGTTATAGCAGTTTATATGATTACAATTAGATACCTCTAAATCATTTGAAGAGTGACAGAAAGCACATCTTATTGGGGAATGGATATTTTTGCATTTTCTTAAAACTCCATTCATGGTTGAGTGAGGAAGCTCTTTACTCAATGATGAAACACAGCACTTTTGTAGATTCATACAAGTCTGATTGTCTTCTTGCATAACATTATCTGTGGAAGAATGTTGCTTTTTGTGAGAAGCCAATGCTGCTAAATCATCAACATTTTGCATATTCAGATTTCTCTGTTTATCTTTCCTTACGACATCCCTCTGGATTTTTTGGCATACTCTGGAACGTTTCCTAAAAGAATCGTCACCTTGATTTTGCTTACAAGATAGTAATTGAAGCCTAGAATTTTCTTTCTCAAGTTCATGATTTGGTGATTTATCCTCAATAGGATTAATAGGAAGATTAGCATCAGGTGTTTTTGATTCAGCACAATCCAAAGACAATCTCTTGACCAGTTTTGGCGACTTGAATGAGACATTCTTGGTTCTTTTCGGGCACTTATTCTTCACATTCACCACAGCTTCCATTAACTTATCATGAGATAACTCTGCCAGTGTTATAGAGGTATCTTCAATAACTTGGTTTTGGATTTGTTTGACAGAGTTAGCAGGAAGCTGTTTATGCACATCAGCTAATCCACCGAGTTCCCTAAATCGGCTTGCCATGCAATCTCTGAGGTGAAGAATATCGGATCTATGACTCTTCTTATAAACTTTCCCTGTGTGTTTTGAATACTCCTTTTCTTGGCTTGAGTCTTCAACCATCTCATTAGAACGAAACGGATGATCTTCATTTAAGTAAATGCTAGCAGTTTCGTGGGTAGATACCTCCACTTTCTTATCTTTGTTTTGCTTGCGTCTCTTCTTCAATGTTCCTTTCTTTTTGCACGATGATTTTGTTGTTTTTTTATCCTCGTCGAGATAAGATGCCTTTGAGCTTTCAAAACCTCTAGAATAGTTGCTAATGCCAGAGGTTATTTCTCTGCATTTATCTTCCTGAAACACGTTGAATCCTTTCCCACAGGCATTCTGCATTTCAATGAACTACTAAGCATAATTTCACTCATTTTAAAATAGTAAACAAGAGAAATAAAAAGAAATACTATTTTCAACAACTTAAATCAATACATTTTCAGCATCATCTCTACACAAAATATCATAAAGAATGTGATGTTCACCTACCACGACTCCATAAATTGCGCTCTTTTAAATAGCATGTAGCATAGAATGTGTTAAAAATGTGCTGATTTGTAACTGTGTCAAATACTATTCAAAATAAATATTGAAACATCGAAACACATACTACTAGATGTTCACCTACCACTAATTTTTGGTCGCTAAAAGATATCTTTAGCGACCAATTTATTTTTGTCTCTATTTTTTTTGTCGCTATTGACCCAATTTCTTGTAGTATACTGGAGCTTCACCTGCAAGACAACTTAGAACAGGAAGAACACAGAAAGAAGTAGAGTGAATTTCATATTCATTTCATTTGCATGTCTCTGTTTGATACAGGGAAATTATATATAGCCTTGTTGAGCACACGTGTAGGGATGCTGATACAAAGTATTGTTATGATCAGACGGTGGTTGATGCTAGAGTTTGTTTGTTGTCAGAGACCGTTACAGAGGAGGTGGAATTCGGTATTTCTGTTGCTAATACTCACCCACAAAGTGATGATTCCGGTTGAATTGTCAGTTTGGATCGAAGTTGTTGAAATCTTTTGGTGGAGAGAAGCTTAGTGAAGATGTCGGCTAGCTGATCCACTGTGCTGATAGGCTCTAAGCTGATATGATTTTCTTGAATGTGATCACGAAGAAAGTGGTGATCGATTTCGATGTGTTTCGTCCTGGCATGGAATACAGGATTGTTGGCTAGCGCGATTGCAAACATGTTGTCGCAGTAAAGTGGAGTTGATGAGGTTATAGGAACATGGAAATATGTAAGCTTCTTAGCCATAGTATATCTGTTGTAGCAGCAGCTACAGCTCGGTACTCAGCCTCCGTAGAGGAGCGGGCGATAGTGTGTTGTCGTTTGACACTCCACGAGATGAGGGTAGATCCCAGAAAAGTGCAGTAGCCAAATGTAGATCTCCGAGTGACTGTGTCTCCAGCCCAATCAGCGTCGGAGAGGGATCTCAGTTGAAGAGAGTCTGCGAAGATTGGAAGTCCGAAATGAGCGGTTCCCTGAATATACCTGAGCAGCCGTTTGAGGAGATGAAAATGTGTCGACTGAGGATCGTGCATATGTTGGCAAAGGACATTAACCGCATAGGCGATGTCAGGTCTGGTAATTGTAAGGTACTGAAGGGAACCAGTGAGTTATTTGTAGATGAGGGGATTATGGAGAACAGAGTCGGAGAATGGAATAGTTACAGGTTTGGTTGAGCTTGGATTGGATAGAGGTTTGCAGTACTGGAGTCCAGCTTGGTGGAGAATTCAGGTTGCATATGCAGTTTGAGAAAGGAAGTAGTGGTTACTGTATATATGTTTGAATCTTAATGCCAAGGAAGGTATGGGCATCCTAAGTATTTCATAGTGAATATGTTACTTGGTCTATGAATTTGAAAATGGACGAGTTGTCTGTTCCCATGACCATTATATCATCTACGTAAATGGCAAGATAAATTTGAAGTTGGGAAGTATAGAGGATAAGTAATGAGTGATCGGACTTGCTTTGATGGAAACCGAGAGAAATGAGATAGGTAGAAAAGGTATTGAACCATTGCCTTGGAGCTTGTTTGAGTCCATACAAGACCTTTTTGAGGAGACAAACGTGTTTTGGATATAGATTATCCTCAAAGCCACGGGGTTGGGTCATATAGGCAGTTTCATTTAAATCATCGTGGAGAAAAGCGCTTGCCACATCCATTTGATGGACTGGCCACTTATGATGCATGGCGATGGTGAGGAAGACACGAATGGTTGGCATTTTAGCACCGGGCTGAATGTGTCGTGATAGTCAATGCCATGTTCCTAACGATGACCTTGAGCCACCAAACGCGCTTTATGACGAGCTATGGACCCATCAGAATGGAATTTGGTTCGATATGTCCAACGACAGCCCAGTATATTAGCTTTTGGAGGAGGAGAAACAAGTTGCCATGTACCTTGTTTTTGTAATGCCAGAAATTCAGTAGCCATGGCATCCCTCCAGTGAGATGATTTGGCTGCTTCCGAATAGGAAGTTGGATCAGGAGTGGAGACAGAGTGGTTGGGTTGGGTTGTATGGAGTAGATTGAGAAGAATTCTTGGTTTTAATGATCCAGTTTTGGATCTAGTAACCATCGGATGATGATCCGGTGCTGGAGATGAGGAAGGCTGTGATGAGCGATTGACATTATTAGTGGAGGTGGGGATTTGCGTGGGTAGGTTGATATGTGGAGTGTTGATTATAGAGATGGACTTCTGGGGTGAATTTTCTGAGGAGTTTGTTGGATTTGTTAAGGAGGTAGGAGTAAGCAGAGATGGGTTATGTATGACTGGGTGGTTGGGAGTGAGGTTTGTCGAGGACCTGTTGAGAGAAGAAAATGGGAATGAGTCTTCGTCAAAGATGACATGTCTTGAGATGATTGCTTTGTTGGTGGATAGATTGAGGCACTTATACCCTTTGTATGATCCATAGTATCCCAAGAAGACGCATTGAGGAGCTTTGGGTGCCAGCTTGTGACGCTGGTTGGGAGGCAGCCATGGGTAGTAAGCACACCCGAAAACTTTGAGGTGGGAATAGTTGGGTGACTTGTTATTAAGTAACTGAAAAGGAGACATGTTCTGTAGTGTGGCTGACGGCATACGATTTATGAGATGCACTGCCGTAAGCGCGGCATCAGGCCAGAAGGTGTAAGGAAGATGAGCCGTGTGTAACAGAGTACGGGTTGTCTCAACAACGTTTCTGTTTTTTTGTTCAGCCGTTCCGTTTTGCTCCGGGGTATATGGGCAAGATACCTGGTGATGAATTCCGTGAGTCTATAGGAAAGAGTGCAATACAGAGTTTAGGAATTCACTGCCTTCGTCTGTGCGCATAGTTTTGATGCGATGAGACAATTGGTTCTCAATGAATGTTTTGAAATGAATTATTATATTAGGAACTTCAGTTTTAGTTCGCATCATAAAGAGCCAGGTGTATCTTGTATAGTCATTCGTTATGAGCAGATAATAACGATAATCTTGATGAGATAAGATAGGGGAGGGACCCCTTACATCAAGTTGAAGCAGAGCTAGAGGAGTGGTAGTTACATTTTGAGATGTAGAAAAAACTAGCTTATGGATTTTAGAAGCCGTACACATTGAGCAGAAGTTAACATTGAGAGGAATAGAGAGTTCTTTGTTTTGAGAAGCTATAACTGAGATAACTTGGCGATGGGGATGTCCAAGTCGGTTGTGCCAGCGAAGAGGAGAGGAATGTTGAGCAGAGTGCGCAGAGTGAGAACCGATTGCGGGAGGTAGTTTAATGGTGTAGAGGCCATTGCAGCAAGGTCCCTGGAGAAGGATTGCTTGAGTCTTCAAGTCCTTGATGGAGAAGCCGTGAAAAGAAAACGTAATGGAGACTTTATTGTCATGAGTAAGATTAGAGACGGAAAGAAGATTATGGGAAAGATTTGGAACATGATAGATTTGAGATAGAGTAAGCTTACGAGTTGGGGTTGGCAGGATACCAGGACCTGAATGTGCTATGGAGAGGTTTTGTCCATTGCCAATAGTAATGCTGTCCGCACCTTGATATGAACTCGGCTGTGACAGAGTATCCAAGGTGTGTGTTAAAAGAGACGAAGCGCCAGAATCAATGTACCAATCTTGAGAAGGTTGTACTAAATCTGCCACCAGAGCTACGGACGATTGTGGTGGTGGCTGAGGTGTGTAGTTGACGTTGAGGCAGTGCCAGCATTGGGACGCGGAGTGGCCGCGCTTTGAGCAGATCTGGCAGATGATCGGAGAGGATGACTGGGAGCAACTTCCTTGGTTGTTGCTGAATGGCGAGCGACCCCTACCACGGCGACCACGTCCTCTTGAGGCATAGAGTGCTGTGTTGGGATCAACTGAGGAGGTTAGGCGAGATGCTTCAGCTGCATGTGTTATCTCCTCGGTAAGAAGATAAGAGTATAGTTCCTCAAGAGTCAGAGGACTTCGTTTGGTACAAATTGACGTCTTAAAGGCCTGATATGTCTGAGGTAGGCCGTTTAAGATATAGAGTATTATGTCTTCTGGGTCTACCGTTGAGCCTACTGCAGCTATGTTGTCTACCAGGGTTTTAACAGATGTAAGATATTGTGCCAGGGAGAGATTGCGTATAGAAATATTATGTAATTCGTTTTTCAACTGAATTACTCTGGATCTATTTGATGCCTGTAGACGTAGTTCAAGTGTATTCCATATTTCAGCGCAGCTGTCTATATGGAGAACATAATGTAGTATTGATGCAGATATGGTGGAACACAAAGCGGCAGCAAGGTTCTGATCAACTAGAAGCCACTGGTTGAAAGCTGGGTTGGGTGCTGTGCTGCCGTCAGATTTAGTGAGAAGACGGGAGGGTCGTTGTGCTGTACAGTCGATGTAGCTGATGAAGCCATTTGCCCTTAATAATTTCAGAATCTGAGACAGTCGATGTAGGTGACGAAGGTGGAAGAAAATGTTAAGAGCCATACTCTGCCATTGATTTCTTCATACTATTATGGCCAATCTACTACTATGCGGATGTTAGAGAGCCTAGTTATGATCAGAATAATTGCTCTATAATAATTTCATCTTTTTTCCTTTTTAAAATCCATTCTGCTCTTCTCACAATTGGATGAAGGATTGCAGATACATGGAGAATGGATAGAAAAAAAGTATTGCAGTTCTTCAATGTCTTTATTTTCTCTTTTTATTGTCGATTATTTACTTAGCAGGAACTGAAGTGCACTTTTGAAATTTCTTCTTAGTATTAGATCTTATTGCTAGATAACATTTTAACATCATTAAAAAAAATACTGTATTTTAACATCATTCATTCAAGGATTCTGATTCTACTGAAATGCCTTCATCCTCCTCTTCCATTGATCCTCGTCCCGCGCAGGAAAAACTTCTGATGGATTTTACAAAAATACATATCTCGCTCAATTGAGTTTGTTATGAACGGGGTGAAAATGTTGATTTGCAAAAAAGTAGCCACATTTTTCGGCAATGAAAATATAATTTTAATAAGAAAATTTGCTCTAGAATCGCAACGCCCCATAGTGTTGGTCGCGATGCCACCCTACAGGATTCACCGCGCTGCCACCTACGTAACGCGCTGGAGCACTAAATTAAATATAAATTTTTAGATCACCATGATGTTTAAGGGAAAATTTCAAAATTTTAAAAACATGCATTCAAACTCATCAAATCCACTCAAGAATATAAAAATCTTTTTCAATATACAAAACACTTTCAAACACATATCAAGGGTTCAAAATACAAAAAATTATGTATTTACCTTTTTCAAATTAGATCAGAACAGGTCAAAATAAACACTGACTTTGAAAGTGGTGCAGGTGCAATGTGTCTCCTAGTTTAAATTTTTTCTAGCACAGGCTTAATGCTTTAAGATTCTATCTACTTTTTTTTGGGTTGGTTGTGATTGGGGGTCTAAAATAGTTGATAAGCTACTTCTCTGTAACATTCAGGTGCTTCTTACATGTAATTTTTGTCATTGTTTGCCTATGAATGACTCTCATTTGGTCTTTGAATGTGACTATACCTTTAACTTTCTCTCTCTCTGCTTGTGCCATTAGAAACTAATTTAATTGTTTAAAATAGCTTCACAAATTTGTTTAGATTAATAAAGAAAGCATTGAATAGAGGATATAGCCATTTAAGAATTGCTGAAATAAATTTTATAATTTGTAGAAATTTGTATTTTCTTATGGCCGTTTGGTTACAACTCATCTAGCTAATGCCAACATCACATGCTATGTTGCTGCTTGCTTAAAGCCTTCTTTCTTCTTTTTTTTATATAATTGCATCAACCTAAGAGTGAGACAAACTCTTTCAAATTATAATTACTTAACCTTTTTGGAGTTTGTTGCTGAAGAAGAAAGATAAAATGAAGGAACTTAAAATTCCAACAACGTCTTTCTAAGCTCAGGCTTGAATAACAGGATATCATAGCTTCCGAATTTCTGGTCAAGTATAACTTTATAAATTGTATCACAGAATTAGATGTCAAAACTAGTCCATTAAGACCAAACAAAAGCTGAGCATCAATCAGTGATAGAATACGAGCCAGACATGTTTGCTAGCTATATTTAATTACCCTGAAGCCTTGTAGAATTAGTTGGTGTAGAAACGATATGCAAATTGCTTATGTAGTGAACTTTTTCTTCTTCTTCTTTTTTTTCAAAAGAAGGGAACGAGCGTGCTTCTTCAACTACACAAGTGATTAAATAACATTTCTTGGTTCAGTTTATGCTTCAGATTTCCCAAGAAGATTGACATATCTCCACCAAATTTCATTGAATTCTTCTTTTTTTGCAAGCAATTTGAAAGTTGTTTTCTCTTGGATTGTAACTGATAAAATGGTGGAAATTTTAGATTCTTTTTATAGTCTAATAAACCACCAGAAATGATAAAAAGACCTGAAAATAATTTTGATAATTTACTAGTCGATCCTTCTTTAGGAATACAACTTTTTTTTTTTGTATTTTGATTTCATTTGTATGTACTATGTAAGGGTTGAATAACCAATGGGCGAAGAAATAATTGCATGAGCTTATGTTGGCTTTGGCAACATTCCCAAAGTTTATCATGTCGCATATATGCATGTATATCAGTTGCTCATATGTTACTTGCACTCCTCAACTTGATATGCAATATGGGCTTTGAAAGAATTGGCAGTCATTATTGGATAAATAAATCACTGCAATAATCAAATCTTATTGTTCGTTGTCGTCAATAGTTATATTGTATTTATCGTACAACATATCACAGAGTAGTAGATATAGCATAGTCAACAAATAATAATATGTAGCGATTGTATACCTGAATTGCATCATTCATTTAATTCATCATATATATATATATATATATATATATATATATATTTCAACACTATCACAAGATCAGAGTTATCATTCAATATTAGTAGAGTTTACCAACATATAAACTATCTTCTAAATAAATAGCATCATATCATAAGGCATATACCTCGCTATATTAAGGTGAAACTTCATCTTGAATTACCACCAGAAGCAAGAAATCTATAATTCCCCGCCATCGCTGACTCTATTTGGGTTGGAGACATTTATCATTGCAAGTCAACCACAAGATACTGTGCTTTTTTTGTTTCAAATCTTGTCTCATGATGTGCAAAAAATAGTTTATGTTCTCCATAGAAGCTAAATATAATGCTCTACCACAAGCATTATCTGGCTCTGAAGATTGCTTCAAGAATTTTAGGTTCTCATTAGCAATTCAACTCCTTTGTATCGCGATGATGCTTCGACTATTGCTCTTGCAAATAATTTAACATTTCACTCTCAAACTAAGCATATAGAGCTGATAATCATTTTACTCATGAGTGTATCAAGCCCAAAGTAATCCTGGTTCATCATATTTCCATATAGAATCAGATAGATAACATCTTCACTAAAGGTATGTATCATCTACTAGGAGACAAATTAATGCTCCAAGATCTATTCAATAATTTGTAGGGGACTGATAAGGACAACAAATAAATTAGCACTTAACATGCATCTCAATTCTCTACCGCTCAATATTATTCCAGTGATTTGAGATTCAACTCTTCAATAGAAGGATGTAGGCAGCCATGGAATCCATGAGGGGTTGTATAACTACTTGTTGTAATATGAATGTTTTACTCTTAAATTCTTCCATAACTACATGTTATAAAAGCTTTGCCACCTTAAAAATAAGATAAGCTATTTTGCCCTCTCCCATTTGAAATACTTATATCCATTGAGCATAAATTTGATATGAAATACCAATAGAGTACAGATTATAAAATACGAATCACGAGCAACAACAATGCTCGACTTGATGGCTGCAACTTGGGTTAGTCTCAAGCGCTTTGTCTCCTTAAATTCTTCTACAATTATGCATATTATAAAAGTTGTACCAAACGAAGCATAAAGTTATAGTTATATGTTGATTGAGTACAAATCATAACCATGAAGTAAGATGAATTTTTTTTATCCTCTCTTACATTTGAAATTAAATTTTCGTTAGCGAGCGTAAATTCAAAGTTATATTTTGATTGAGTCCAAATCATAAAAAACAAAGCACAAGCAATAACTCCTCCCAAATTATCGTCTCTAGTTTGAAATTCTAATTTAGTTAATGATTGTAAATTCGAATTTATATATTGATCAAGTACCATTCAACAATAAAAACAACAAAAACAACAAGTCTTTATCCCACCATGTGTCCTATTAAGGTTCATCTACATTAATTCGTTTTTCTCAATTGTGTCATATTAAAAGTCAAAATTTCATCTAAATCTAATAAAAAAGATCATTTATAATACTATCTAACCAAATCTTTTTAAGTCTACCTTTCTTAGCATAACCAAGTTTTAAATACTGTCGTTGTCAGGTCTTGGACAAGAAAAATGAAGAATTTTGTTAAGTAATAGACAACCAACATAAAACTTGTCGAACAATCATGATTGATTGAATACAAATCGTAAACGATAAATTACGAGCAATCAATAGCACCACAAAGATTGTGAATAGCATAAACCTAAGGGTCAATCATACCTCGATTTCGCTAGAAGGCTGCTAAGTGGAGAAAGGATGAAGTGGGTGCTGATGTTGGTGAGAACAGAGTAAAAGAAAAAGTTCTTAAATGATTGTTGGTTGTTTTCTCATGTAACTTTTTTCTTGATGGAAAGAAAAGAAGTGGGGCATAATCATTATAGATAGAGGAAGACGGCATGGGAGAAGGGCATAGAAAAATTACAAAAGCTTTTCTAATGTTCTTTTCTTCTTTCCTGATTCCTTTTCTTCTCTTTGATGTTCCAGATAACCTCGAATTATCTTACCAGTTTGCTCGTTATCTTTGTGCAATTCTTAACAAAGACTTGTGAATTTCTCCATCAATTTATCAAAAACGGGCAAAGCAACATTCTGTGTGCTGCTTTCATCCTTTCTTTAATTTGTTTTTGATGGACAGACAATAGAAATTTAGACTTCATTTGGGACGGCTTTCTTACTGCTTCTTAAAACAGCTTATTAAGAAACAGTAAGAAAGCCGTCTTAAACAAAATCTTAATCTACTCATTCAATATTCTTCAACTTTAAAGTCAAAAGCACATATTAACATCAGGAAAATAAAAGTTTAAATAAAAAAAAATAAAAAAAACTTTCACATGATTGATTGGAGTAGGAAATTCCTTCATATCAAGCATATCATTAAACTCATACAGGCTATTGTATTTAAAACATCAAAATTTACAGGAAAGTATATTGAAAGGCAACCCAATCCTAATCTTGACGGTTCTTATTTGTATCACAAAGGCACACCCATAACTTTGCAAGAGCAGAAAGGATTTAAAAAAGAAAAAAAATAAAAATAAAACAGCTTTTACATGATAGAGCAGCTATTTTGATCATAACTGTGATCCACATAGTAGTAGGGCGGTTGAGTGATGGCTCCCACAGATTGTCCATAATAATAGGGCAAAATCACTGGTTGGATATTGCTCTTTACTTCTGTCTCCACCTTCACCTTCTTCTCCTCCTTTTTCTCCTCAACTGCAGTTACCAACTCCAATTTGGCACACCCCATCTTCTTTCGCAGTAGCGTCGTCAATGCCACCGAGTCAATCTCTTCGCCCACCACGGTCATCTTGTCCCCCTCATGCGACACTGACAAAACACCTGCTTGCAGAAAGCAACTTCATTTCATCATCAAATTCATATATAACCTGGCTTTGCTTGATACTATATATATTCAATTAGTTTGGGAATTACCGTGCATTCCGACGGCACATTGCATAGCTTTTGAGCGCTTCTTGGCATCTTCCATGCAGAGCTTCAGCACCACCTTTTGCTGCAGATTAATGAAGGAGAAATGGAGGAGTCTGTTAGTTGCTTGACAATCTACTCAACAAAATTAATTAACAACTGAGTCTAAGAAGAGTAATCACCTTGGCCATGGATGATGATGATGTTGTATTCCCTTTGGTTTTGCTGCTCGCAGAAGAAGCTCCAAGTAGTTGTAAGAGCTCTGTGTAGTGTGATAAGCTGCGAGCTTGAGTTCTTTTGGAGCTCGAGAGTGGGAGCTATAAATAGGAAGGCGACGAGGAAGGAGAAGGGAAAGCGGGTCGGGAGGGAGGAATTGGCAAGGAAAGCCTTCTAGATTGAACGACTGAATATGAACGCACGCCGTTTGTGACGACTGCAAAGACTTAGAAATTAGCTAGTAAACGGTTGGTCCCAAATACTAAGGCCGTAGGGCGAGTAATGTGTGGGGGAAATGTATCCGTAGAATAATTTTTTTGTTTTATTGGACTCTTTTTTTTTGGTAATTAACGCAAGTATAACAACAAAATTTTTTATATTTATGAAACTATCATCTTTTGAACAAAATGAACTTAAATTTATAATTGTACGCAATTAAAAAAAATTCTTATTGCTTTCTAAATCACCACATGAAGTCTAAGGCTTCATTTGGAACGGCTTTCTTATTGTTTTTTAAAAAAGATTTTTAGTAAAAAAATTAAATTTTTATATTAAAAAATAACTTTAAGAAGCAATAAGAAAACCGTCCCAAACGAAATCTAAGACTTCATTTGTGATCGTTTTTTTATTGCTTCTTAAAGCAGTTTTCTAGCACAATATTTTTTGTGCTAAAAAGTTACTTTAAGAAGTTGTAATTCAAATGAAGCTTATGTTTTCATCAAAGACTTTACGGTAGGTATTAATTAGTTTAAATGAGAAAAAAAATTTAAAAAAAATATATTACACTTTTCTTTTTTAATTTGAATATATTTTCTACACGTTTGCAATTCCACCAAACGCACAAAAAAAAAAGGTGTAGTCATCAAGTAAACGGACTAGATTCAATGAGTCTGACCCATAAGACTAAATCATCATTATATATACATTAATTTTATGAAAGAATAGATATGTATGATATCATCATCATAGGCGAAAAAATTAATACTAATTAATGGTTGGTAACTCATAATCGTTTGTTACTATGACAAACCTAAAGGCAATTATTGTATGTCTTATGCTCACATTTCGTTTTCTTTTGTACTCATGCATGGTAAGAAGATTTTTAAAATTCATAATTATTTACTATATTTGTATATTGGTTTACAAAAAAATATTAAAAAAAAGAAATTTTTATTATTGCGTAGATATTCGTTGTGTGCCATAAAATTCACAGCAAGAGAGAGAGAGAGAGTTTTAATGTTTTAATTTTGTACAAAGATTCAATACATACACAGATAAAAGTGGATGACAAAATACACGAGTTCTAGCATGGACATCCTGGAAAGGAAAAAAAATCACGAAACTTATCTATGGTGAAATAATTTTTTTAGTAAGGCTGTCAAAATCAGGTCACAGGTCAGGTTCAGATCCAACCTAGAACTAAACCGAGTTCGGGCAATTTTTATAAGATTTATAAGAGACAATAAGTTTTTTACATGAAAATCCTAAAAAGGAAAAAAATCAAGAGGTCTGGCACAATTGAAATGAATCAACTAGAGTTTGTTGATAATTACAAATGATGTCCTTCCTCGGGGGAAGCATTGATACAATATACATCATATATAATATAGTACATAGTCGAACAGAGGTCGGAAGGATTGTAGTCGTGCATTATTTGTTTGGAGTTGGAAGAATTTGGTGACATGAGAGCTATTCTCAAGAGGACATTGTCCTATTCATTTGGTTGGTATGACTGTTATCAAGCAACGTCCATAGGCCAAAGGGAATGTAGTCAAGCGACTTAGGTCGAGGGTTTGTAGTTAGAGGGGAGAAAATGATGATCGAAAGGACCATAATCGGTTGGCGACGGTGGTCAGAGGGACCGTAGTCGGTGGGTTATAGTTGTCAGAGGGATCGTAGTCGGCTGGCGAAGAAAGTTGGAGGTAAGGTAGTCAGCGGACGACAATGGTCAAAGGAATCGTAGTCAGTGGGAGATGCCGATCAAAATAACCATAATTTGTTGGAAACTAATTAAGGCCGAACAGACTGTACTCGACTAACGACTGAGGTTGAAGGGACCATAGTTAATTGGTGGGAGACGAAGGATAGAAGTACCGTGGTCGGCAGACGATGATGATTAGAGGGATCGTAGTTGATGGGCGACGGTGGTCACATGGACCATAATCGGTAGGTGATAGTTGTTGGATAGTTGGCAGACGATGGTGGTTTGAGAAACCATAGTTAGCGGGCACAAAGGTCGGAGGGATTGTCGTTGGCAGGTGACAAAGGTTGGAGGGATCATAGTCAACGGGCGGTGGTGGCATGGGGAATCGTAATCGACAGATGATAGAGGTTGGAGAGACAAATGTTGGAGGGTGATTGTAGTTTGAGGGATCATATTTGGCAGCGATAATGGTCAGAGGGACCACATTTAATGGGTGAAGGAGGTCAAAGAGACTGTAGTCGACGGGCGACAGTGATCGAAAGGACCATAGTGTGTGGGAGATAGTGGTCGGAGGTAGACTCAACGGTGGTGGCTGGATGGAGGTACAATGGTGATGATTAAGCAGAGTTGTAGCAGCTGTGGCCGAGCAAAGGTTTAACAACAGTGGCATAGTGGAAAGGGTTTTCCAGCAGTAGCGTCGGGGTGGAGGTCCATGATTATTCAAGCCTTATAGCTCTCTTGATCTCTAGCCCAAGGTCCAAATCCCCAAAGCTCCAAGCCCCTACCTTTTCATGTGAAAAGAGTTTATCTATTTATAAATTTTGAGAGTGACATGTCTAATAAATATGAAGAAGATCCAGGATAAATTCGGATTGGTCCATCAAACGACCCATAATGATTATCTTAATCATCGGCCATTTATTTAGCATTTAATTGGGTTAATGGTTTTAGAATTAAGCGCTTTTGGGCTTGTTGGATTTGTCTCGTCAAGCCACTCCATTCGATTATAAGCATGTCATATTTAGAGATCATTTGGTCATCTAATTAAGTTTTGGATCTTTCAAATATGCTTAAGTCTCTTGATTTGGACCCATTCGGGCTCGGATTGAACTGATTTTTGTGTATTGGGTTTGTCTCCTTGATACACTCAATTTGGCTATATGTTTGTTGAAATATATATATATGTATATATATGATTGATTCAGTTCAACTTGAAAATCAAATTTGTATCAAATCGGGATGAACTTGTCAGAACTGTCGGTTCAACCAAGGAATTAATGAATAGGTCTCGGTTCCCTTAAATCGGCTGGTTCAATTTCTAAAAATATTTATAATTAATAATTAATTTCATAAAAATTATTTATTTATTTATTTAATAACTATAATGATCTAAATCTTAATAATTTAAATCTAAAATTAAAAAATATAATTTAATATATAAATTATACCTAAGAATTATATCTAAACATATAATATAATAATTTATATTAAATTTTAAATCTATAGGTAAGTTAAATTTTTTAAAAATTTGAATTATATTTAAAGATTGACTGCCTTTAAATTTAAAATTACATAATATATTATTAATATATGAATATAACTTATTTTTAATAAAAAAATTCTATTATTACATGATGATTCATTCATTTAATTTTATATTTATTATGTCATCTGATTATTCCGATCAAACAATTAAGCCCTTTCCTTTCGTTTCTATAACCATTAAACCCTAAACCTTTCCTTTCGGTTTTATAACCATTCCGATTCCATAGAAATATAAAAAAAATGTCCGATTTGATTTTCACAATCTTAAATTATTTCATTATTTTTCTATCATTGTTTTGCTATTTGAATGATATTTAAATAATTTTATATTTATTACGTCATCCTCCGATTCAACCCCAATTCGACCCGATTAAATCATTGAACTTTGAACCTCTCATTCTAATTTATTATCAGATTCGATTTTTACCAACTATATATATATGAGATACATTCTCTCTCATTCTTATCATATTTCTACAATTTTACTAACGAATCATTATTTAAACTATGGTGCAACAATCATGCATATGACTTATGAGAGACGCCTCATTTTACAATCTAACGTTATTTATTTCCACTGCGTTGTAGTTTTCCGCGTCTGACTTCGTCGCCACTGACCATTTCCTCGTCCGGTCCTATATATCCTTTCCCAGTTGCCGTATCCTTTCCTCATAGCCTCTATTAAAAAAACTGTGAAGCAGTAAGAGCTACTAACGTTATTACTATCGGTCAGGAACCATTCCCTGCATGGCCAAGGTGAGTATATTCAAAACTGTAGAGAATTAAGAGTTGCAGACAAGCAGCTTAGCTTCAAGCAATTAACAGAAGCAGTACATCTCTCCTTAATCTGCAGCAGAAGGTGGTGCTCAAGCTCTCCATGGAGAACAACAAGCAGCGCGCCAAGGCCCTCAAGTGCGTCACCAAATTACACGGTAACATTCTTTATATTATAATATACGCAAGCTTCGAATTCAAAATCTCTTGACTGATAGTCAGAACTCTCAACCAACAAATCAAGATGAGCGGCGCTCGCTAAGCTGATGTTTGAATTTACTTCATAAGCAGGGATAGCGTCGGTGTCGGCCGATGATGATAAGATCACAGTGGTTGGCGAAGGGATCGACTCGGTGAAGCTTGCAACGATGTTGAGGAAGAAGATGGGGTTTGTGGAATTGGTGATGGTGACCCCCGAGAAGGAGGAGAAGCCAGTACTTGATGCCAAGAACATGCAGCCCTTAGTTCAGCCGATCTACTACTATGCTTATCCTGCCTGAATCAACATAACGGTTATGTATTTGAAAAAGAAATTTTGTTTATTTGTTTTCTGATATTACTAAGGGTATACGTGTGCTTTGGAATTGAGCTGTAGATGAGTAATATTGAAATTTGGGAGAGAAATAGGGTCATAATATATTGATCTAATTTTCATCAAAATGGTCTTAATAAAGTTTATTGATCAGTCAACTTTTTATAATATTTGTTATGACAATTATATGTGAATATCTTTTTATTTTGTTGCTCTATATATCATGAATGTTATAGAAATTAAAATCACATAACTTCATATTATTTAAATTTAATAAAAATATCATATATTAGTTTTTAAGATTGCTATTATCAAAATTAGATGATAATATTTTAATCTTATTTATTTTAATAATTTTGTGTGTTTTACTTTTGGGATAAAATTTAAAAGTAGGTGAAATATAAAAATTTAACTATTAAAAGTTGCATATTGAAATAAAATTTTAACGACTGACTACTGAAATGACAATTTTTTGTGTATTTTTTTTATAATCTTAAGTATAAAACTTAAATATTTAAATTATATAAATTAAAATATAATTTTATTTAAGCTTTTTTCATAGGATTTAAAATTTATTATATTAAATAAAATTTAAATTCTAAGGCGAAAACTTTTAAAAAATAATTTTTATATTTATTATATATATTTTTATGTGTTTTTAATGGGCGATTAATTGATTTTTCTTTTTTCCTACAGATTTTTTTTTGTTGGCTTTTTAATTTTTATAATCCTAGGGGAAAAAAATTTAAGAAATTAATTTTGATTTTTGTTATGAATTAATACCTACTTTATTTAAATGTAATAAAATTTATTTATATTTTTAAAGAGTTTTAATTTTATTTATTTAAGTTTTCAAAGCAATATGTATTGATAATGGACAATAAATTTTTTTGAATAAAGCTAATAACGCATAGATATTTTATTTATATTTTTGAAGGATTATTAAAAAAAAAGGCCACTAAAAATTCATTTGAAACAGCAAAAAAAGTCAATTTCCCATTAAAAATACATTAAAATACATAAAAAATCTAAAAATTTAGTTTTGTTTAAGTTTTTTCCTTAGAATTAAAATTTATTTAATTTAATAAAATTTAAATCCTAAAAAAACTTCAAAGACATTTAATTTTAGTAATTGTTATGCTTTCATCTTAGTTTTCTAAAATCTTATTAATTTATTTCCATAGAATTATAAAAAGTCAATTTCCCACTAAAAATTCATTTGTCCTTACTTTACTTCTCGATGGAAAAAGTAGTTGGCACTTAGCAAGTCTATTATGCACGCCATTTGATCATCAAGGAGAAATTATTACGTGTAGTCATCAGATCGTTCAGAGATTAATCAGGATGTGTCACGTCACTCAATACACAACAGTACACAATAACGATACACAATAAATTAGTGACGTGACACGTCCTGATTAACCTCCAGACGACATCCGGTGATTGCACGTAATAATTTCATGACCTTCATGACCATTGCTCTCTATGCTTTAAGTATCTAGGAGGCTAGGATAAAATTTTGTGGGTAACTTATGCTCTACATTTAAACTTTTCAAATAAATAAAAAAAATAATGCCATTTTTTATTAAAATTTTAAAATCATAATTATAATTTGCCTAGCTCAAAGTATTTTACTTGTCTCCATAATTTATTTTTAAGAGGATTTATATGCATATCACTTTATATCATACTACTTATATATTTAACATCCAAATTTTTAATATTTCATATATATTACTCATTGTTGCGTCCTGGAGTATTCGCGGCGGTAGAGAAATATAAAGTTTATTGTCTTAGTGTTGTACGAAAGTCGGGCACGTAATCAGATAAGAGAGTGGGTCTAGCATTTATGAGACACCAAGATTTTTACGTGAAAAACCCCTGAAAAAAGGGAAAAATCACAGGGCATAGCCCAATTTGAATAAATCCACTAGCATTGCAGTTGATTACAAATGAGGCCCTTCCTTGGGGGAAGGCCTTGGCTCTATGTACATCATATGCAGTATATTACATTGTGGGAATACAAAGAGCTACTGTTGATGTGTTAATTTGTTCGGATGGATTATAGTCGCAGGCGATGAAGGTCGGAAGGACTGTAGCCGGTGGGCGACGTAAGTTAGGAAAACTGTAGTCAGCGGGAGACGGAGGTTCGGAGGACTGTAGTCGGTGGGAGATGTAAGTCAGGAGGACCATAGCTGGCAGGCGACGGAGGTCGGAAGGACTGCAGTCAGTGCGCCACGTAAGTCAGAAGGACCGTAGTCGGCGGATGATGGAGGTCGGAAGGACTATAGTTGGTTGGCGACGTAAGTCAGGAGAATTGTAGTTGGGGAGTGATAGAGGTCAGAAGTACTGTAGTCGGTGGGCGACGTAAGTCAGGAGGACGGTAATCGGTGAGTGACAGAGGTCAGAATGACTGTGGTCGGTGGGCGACGTAAGTCAGGAGAATCGTAGTCGATAGGCGACGGAGGTCGGAAGGACTGTAGACAGTGGGCGACGTAAGTCAAGAGGATCGTATTCGGCGGGCGACGGAGGTTACAAGGGTTGTAGTCGGTGGGCGACGTAAGTTAGGAGAACCGTAGTCGGCGGGAGGCGGAGGTCGGAAGGACTGTTGTCTAGCAATGGATGTTAGAAGGAGGACGTCAGATAGAAGTCTTGTAATAGATATAAATCCAGCATCGGTTAGATGTTCGAAAAAATTCCGACAACTGGTAGAAGTTTGTCATTTGGTAGAAATCTGGCGACGAGCAGAGGTCCGACGTCGAGTAGAAGTCTGACGTCAACCGACGGTCGGGGAGAATTTCTGCGTTACTTGGAGATCGGGTGGAGTTTTGGCGTCACTTGAAAGTCGAACGGAACTCCGGCGTCACTTAAGCAGAATTCCGGCGTCGCTTGGGCAAAATTCCGACATCTGGTAGAATTTTGGCATCACTTGTGCGTCGAGCAGAATTCCGGCTTCACTTGGGCGTTAGAAAGAATTCCTGTATCTTGTGAAAGCCGGGCAGAATTCCGACATCATTTGGGCAAAATTCCGGTGGCGGTGGTCGAGGAGGAGTTTCTTCCCTCCGATCCTCCTCTTCTATTCTCCTTATTCTTGCTTTTGCCACCCCCCCCCCCTCAAAAGAAATGAGGGGTTTATTTATAGTTTTCTAATAGTGGTATGACCAATAAATAGGACGAGGATCAAGGGAAAATATGGAGTAGTTTGGATGGACGGCCGATATTGAATCTTTGATAGTGGACCGTTCGTCAGACATTTGAAGGTTTTAATGATATTGGAATATGTCGATCTTGGGCTCGTTGGATTTGTCTCGTCGAGCCGCTCGATTCTAATGAAAGCATGTCACGCTTAGAAACCATTTGGTAATCCAAATTGTGGTTCGAACCTTCCAACAGCGCTTCGAGTCCTTAATTTGGACTCATTTGGGCTTGGATTGAGTTGAATTTGGTGTCATTGGGTTTGTATTTTCGAGACGCTCAGTTTGACTATAAGTTTGCTCAAATCGGAGTTCAGATGATCCAAGATTTAATTTTTGAAATTTTCAACTTGATTTTTGCCTCGAGATTCATGCCCAATCAAGATAATTTTTCGATGATTTATTACTGATATATAATTTTTATATCAAATATATCACTCTTATATTCATTCCTACTAGACACTAGTTATATCTTTATATAAAATTTAATAATTCATTTATTGTACTTATATTTGATCTATGTGTAATAAATATGAAATTTTAAAATTTTAGTTATTAGATATGTAAATAATATGATATAAAGAGGTATATATGTAAATTTTTTTTAAAGTAATTGATATAGAGTACATAGAAATTTAGAAATATTTGTTTGAATGTCAGAAATAGGAATTTTTATTGCGTCCTCCCACCTGACGTAGAGATACGTCCTCACACCGCCAAAAAACTCGGTTTTTGCTCGGTATTGCTACGTATTATTTGATAATAACGAGGAATATCATCATGTGAAGACCAATACCGAGTTATACCTAGCTATACCGAGCAATACAAAAAAATACCGAGTTTTTTCTAGGAAAAACTAGGTATTTTTTGTATTGCTCGGTATTGCTCGATATAACTCTGTATTGGTCTTCACATGATGATATTCCTCGTTATTGTTTGGTATTGCTCCGTATTTGCTCAGTATTTCTCATTTTTTAGCGCGATTTTTGCGATGGGATGACGTATCTCTACGTCAGGTGGGAGGACGCAATAAAATTCCCAAAAATAGAGAGTGAGAATATCATTATATGACCACTCCTTTATTTTTTACTTATTTATAATTATTAAATAATGACTGTAGGCTAAGTCTTCCAAAAGAGTCAATATGTCGTCTTCTGTATAAAGCAGTCCAAATTTTAATCAAAACAATTTTTTTGTCTTTTATTTTTCTTTTTCTATTTTCTTTTCTAAAGCATTTTCTAAAGCATTGACCAACTGCTTTAAAGTAGTCAGTCGTTTACTTCTAATACTCTTTGAAAGCTACACTTAACATTTGTTGCAACTTGCAAGTGGGCAATAAATATAGAATATGATTGGGATGATTTTTTTATTTTAATATGTTTAAGATTGTAAGTATTTTATTTTTATTATATTAATTTTTTATTGATTTAAAAAAAATTATACTTGAGAAGTTATTTCTTACAGTAATTTTTCAAAAAAATTATTTAATTATAAGAATTTTACAATCACTTTTATAAAAAGATGCATCATTCTCAACAAAAAAAAAAAATTATTTTGTTCGAACACTGGACGACATCTAGAGACCAACCAAAATGCACCACATCACTTTTTTACTCGGTTCTGGTATTCAGTACGACTATGTACCGAGTAACACGATGCATTTTGATTGGTCTCCGAACTGTTCGGTATCCGCACATAAATAATTTCTCCCCAACAAAACCCTTAATAGACGCATAGTAACTACAATATGCAATATGGTTTTGATCTTCCCTTAGAAAAGTTGCAGACTATTCTCGCGAGTCA